GTTTGGCGAAATCGTGACCAGTCCATTTCCAGGGGCTGCTGTGGCTGTCCCTCCCCACCACAACCAAGCAGTCGCTCACCAGGAGACCCACGGGGCTGGGGCAGGGCCTGCAGGTGTGAGCCTTAGGCCTGGGGTGCGAGCAGCCTCAGGGCTGAGAATGACGAGGGCGTTTTGATTCCGTATTGATTTTCAAAGGAAGGCCAGAGCTGGTGACAGCACATGGGTATTTTTTAACTTCTTGAAAGGAGACAGCCAAAGTGACACTCCACGGGACGTGCATGGTGGGTGGGGTCACAGTGCCTGTCCGGTCTGGGCTGGGCTCACTCACCGTTCGAGTGACCGCTGGGCCTGTCCCACTGGCCGACGGTCAGGGCTCAGCGTCTCCCAGGCTGTTGCTGTCTGTCATCTGACGGCGTCCCATGATGAGGTCCCTGTGACGTCCCTGAGGTCGCACTTTCCTGCGTGCTGTGTAAACAGCTCCAGCAGCCAGGCCTTGCGGGTTTCAGGTAGCACCGAGCCTGGCCTTAGGGCGCCCCGCCGTCGCCCCTGCCGGTGGCCGCAGGGCCCTGAGGACGCGGGCGCTGGCCTCCCGTCCTGCCTCTCACTGGTGCTGGGGTGCTGGATTCGAGATGAGAGTTCTGAGGGTGGCTGGGCATGCACGAGGCCAGGCCATGAGGGGGTGCGGCGGGGCAGGTGCCCCCCCCACCCTCACCCGGTTCGCCCCACCTGGCCCAGTGGGAAGGCCAGGCCCACCCGCAGAACCCGGCCTGCACCCACTGCGGGGGACTGCACCCTCCCACTGAGCTGGGGAACAGCCTGGGTGGTCTGCCTCCCTACACCACCGTGCAGCATTCTCGGGGTGGGGGAGCAAGAGCGAGTGGGGTGCAGGAGCCAGGACGTGTGCCGGGGCTCTGTCAGTTCAGGCCATGCTCTGTGCCTCTACCCAGGCCCAGGCGGTGCTGCGGCTCCTGCACTCCTTTGGGGCCCCCCAGGACGGCGGTGAGCCACCCCGACAGGAGGCAGCCTAAGCATCTCGGGTCCTGAGGACGGTTCCTGGGAGCCAGCTGGTCCTGGTCAGCCCAGGGAGTGTGGTCGGGGGTCGGGAACCAGCGCGTGGGACTGCGGGGAGCGAGGGTGTGCTGTCCAGCTCTGCGGGACTCGGCCTGCCCATGCAAGCTGGGCAGCCCCTCTGTGCAGAGGGAACAGGACTTGAGGTCCAGGCCTCGTCTTGTCCTGTCTGGGGAGGACACTCGTGCTCTGCCAGCCATGCTGTGACGGCGCTGTGCGCTCGCCGGTCTGCACTGACACCCCGCTCAAACACCCTGCCTCGGGCGTTCTGAGCATGGGCCTGGGGAAAGCTGCCTCTCCACCCCGACGGCCCAGGCCCTGCCCTTGCAGCCGCACTCCCCTCCCGCCGCAGACTTTCATCTAGAACCTGCTGAGGTTCCGCGGGAGCCCGCGGCCCCTGTGCAGTGGAGCTGGGCTCTGTCCCTCGCCGGGGCAGCTGGAGGGGCGGAGGCCCAGGCTGCTCACTGCCGGGCTCTCCATCCTCGGGATCTCGTCACCCTCACCGGTGGCAGCCAAACTGTGGGGTGGCATCTGCCCAGCACCCATGCGTCCCATGGAACACCACTGGGCTCCGATGACAGTGGGAGGGCAGTGGGTGGCGTGAGGACGGGATGGGGACACCGCCTAGGTAGGCTCTGTCGGCTGCCCCGTCACCACTTCCCATCGGAAAGTGCTTTTGGGCCTTTTGGAGTTGATGATTTTGTTTAAAATGAAAATCCGTTTTTTCCTTTATGAGAAAGAAAGGGAGACAGGAGCAGGGTCTTGACACAGGGTCTTGCTGTGTCACCCTCCTGCCCAGCCTCCCTGCCGCTTGTCCCAGACTAAGCCTGGCCCTCCGTGTGACTCTCCCGCACCCCCTTGGTGCTGTGGCGTCTGGGCCTGAAAGTCACCCTAGCGAGGCCAGGTCACCGTGCACCCACACGGAGCAGGGGCCTCAGCGCCACTGGCCTGCAGGAGTGCCACCCCAGTGCCTTCGCTCCTGTGGGCGGGGCTGGCCGCGGAGGGCGGGAGAGGTGGGCGTGGCACCTGCTGTGAGCACGCTGGGCTCTGGGCACACCTGTGTGCGTCACTGCTCACCTGCTGGAGCCCAAGCCCCAAGTGTCCCTTGCCTGGGGCTTTTCTCGGGCTCCACGGCTACCGCGGGCCGCTACAGACCAAGGCACAGAGAGCACCGAAGGTGGCCCATGGGGTCTTCCTCGGGCCCTCTGGCGCCCAGCTCCTGCAGGTGACCGGCACTGAGGGGTGGGCGGGGGGCCACATGGTGATTGGAGAAACCCCTGGAGACAGCCCGTTTCTGACGTGTCTGGGAGACCCCGAGGCAGAAGGGCCATGTTCGGCCGTGAACAGAGACCTGGGAGGGGCAGCTGGAGTCGGATTATTTGTGGGAAGTCTGATTACTAAGAAGCCTGCCCTATACATGTGCCACTTCACACTCCCATTACTAATAACCCACTTATCGACCGTGTAGACTCAACACGGCATTGACCTGGCGCGTCCATCCCGGCTCAAACCGGTGGACATCGGTCTTCCCCCGAAAAGTCAGACACTGTTGGTTCTTGAGAGCTTTGGGAAACGCTTTTCTTAAAGTGAAAGTTCTGGTTTAAGGAAATGTTGCCCAGCCAGGTGGGGAAACCTCTGAACACTGACACGTCTGTGTGGGTAACATGCTCCACCACGCAGTGACATGGGCGTCCACCTATGGCTAGCATGTATTACAGTGTAGTTATACACATGCCTGTGTGTGGTGACACATCACAGGGCAGTGACACACATCTGAATCAGGTGGCACGTATCACAGGGCAGTGACACATCGACGTACAGGTGACACGTATCATGGTGTAGTAAGCCATGTACCCACAACATGTGACGTGCACCTCACTGCAGCGCATGGTGACACATATGACAGTGCAGGTGCACATGTGTGTGTGCTGGCACTTGTGTCCCCAGGTGTTGCCGTGTGGGCTCTGGGCAGCATGTTCCTGGAGCGCTCCTGGAGGCCATGCCTGGCAGTGCAGAGTGGAGAAGGCTCTGGGCTGGCCAGGCCACACCTCCGGCCGAGTCTCCTCTCGTCAGTGGCTCTTGGGGCCCTGGTCACTGTAAGGTACCGAGCCGGTGTGTCCTGGCTTGCCCCCTGTGGCCGGGCCCGAGCCTGTCTGGCACTGCCCACTGCTAGCCAGGAGCCCTGGCCTGTTCTGTGTGTCCCTGGGGCCCTGGGGCCATCAGGCCATGGATGACAGGGCTGCAGCGAGGCCCACCGTCCGGCACAGCAGCCTGGGCTCAGGGCCTCCTCCAGGTCGCCCAGGAGGCCCCCACCACACCCCCTGCCTGAGGGCCAGCTCCTTCCTGGGCGCCCTCCTGCAGGAAGCCTCCTGGGGCGTGTGGCCACAGCTAAGTAACACTGCTCCAGGGCTGCAGGTTTGGGCCACGTGTCCGAGGGGGACATGGCGTTCCAGGCAGCTTCTTGGGGCTGGACAGGCTCCCAGGCACCTCTGTGAGTCCAGAGAAGAGGCCTGGCCTGGAGCTGGTGTTGGGGCAGGACGCTGGCACCAGTTACCCAGGCCCTGGGCCTGGCCCTCCGTGGGGAGGAAGGCCCCTGGGTTTGCAGCTGGCCCGTGTCCTCCGTGACGGCGTAGGTGGCGCTCCTGCCATGCGGGTGTGGGTTCTGACCGCGTAGGACACAGCCCTGTGGCACGACGGCCCTCCTGTACTGGCTCTGACTCTGGGGTGCCCGGAGGCTGCTGTGACCCCAGGGCGCACGGGCCTGAGGTCCCCTCACCAGGCCCTACGGGGACAGCGGGCCGCGTGCTCACGGGCTGGGAGCCATGGAGGGGTTCTTTCCTTTTACGGGGAGGGCGGCCAGAAACATGTGGCCCCTCGGTCGCCTCAGGACACCCAGCAGGCAGCCCTGCCGAGCGCAGGTCCCGCAGGCGGTGGGGAGGCATGCTCAGTGCCCGCCGGCTCCCTTGTAGAGACCTAGGCTGCCGCCCAGGCGTGGCACAGCCCTGGACGTCACTGAGGCTGTGTCCAGTCCGGGGCCTGGCGGTGGTTTGTGGCTGGAACTGCCAGCTGTGCTAGTGATGGTCCTAGAGTGGTCTCACTGAGGCATAGGTGACCACGGTGAGTCTTCGACGCTGGGCTTGGGGTCACCTCTGTTGTGTGTGGTGACAGGTAGACTCCTAGGCCCTGGACCCACATCTGAGCCACCCCGAGACCCGTGATCTGAGACCTGCATGTCTCCAGTCTGCTCTCGCCCTGCCCTGGGCTGTCGCTGTGGACAGTGACCGGGCACCTCGGTGGCCAGCCTGCTGCAGCCCGTTCTGGCCCCTGGGCCCCCTGAGCAGGCTGAGCACCTGTCTGGACCAGGCCCGGTGCTGCGCCCAGAAGGCGGCAGGAACTCCTGCCCACGCTGGCCTCGGCGGCCACTGGCCCAGGAGATGCAGGGGACAGGAGTGAGGGCAAGAGAGCGTCCACTGCAGGTCATGGCCCTGTTAGGGACAAGGTTGGAGGGTGCCCGGTGATGGCCAGGGGTCAGATTCAGAGGGGGGTGAGGCAGTTTCCTTCGTGGGGTCCCACGGGGAGGCTCTCCCCCACTGTCCCTGGCCAGGAGGACACTCAGGCCCACAGTGGACATGCTGGCCCTGTGGACATGCCGGCCCTGTGCAGGGAACGGAATCCCGACCTTGCAGGTTCTCGGCTTTGCCAGCACCGCAGCAGGCCGGCGACTGCCCAGCCGATGACAGAGGGTGGCGGGCCCCAGTGCGGGTCTGTGGAGGAGGCTCCGGGCAGGGGAGGCCCAGCTGGGCCTGCGTGAGGGCGGGGGTCGAACTGCGGTAGGCCATGCGGACGTCCTCCGGGCCGTTCCCGGGGCCGCGGCCGCTGGCTGGGAGGTGGGGTGGGTAGCCCCGCGTCATGCCTGTGTCCTCTCTCCCTAGAACACTATGGCTATGTGCCCTCCAGCGTCGGCTCCGGTCTGCCGCTGCCGGCCCCATGCCACGACCTCCAGACCTCCTCACCGGGCCTCCCAGCGAGCCACCCCTCGGGGTATGGAGGGGCTGTGGACGGCGGGCCCTCGGGATACTTCCTGTCTGCCGGCGGCCTCAGGCCCAATGGCGCACCAGCCCTGGAGAGCCCTCGCATCGAGATCACCTCCTACCTGGGCCTGCACCACG